ACATGTAATGACTGTCAACCTGAATGGTAATTCGAACCACTGATTTTCTTAATGTCATTGTAGGAGTAAGGAGTAATGATCAGGTGATTATTACAAGTATCATTTTTAATCTATCCAATTTGAGCTTAAATTTGCGAATCAATGGAGTTACTTATTTTATTATTCATATATTTTTTTTTGTTGGGGTGGTTTTAAATCATAGTGATTCAAATATTGTATGGTGTTGTTTTTTTAAATTATATCTCAGATATTTTAAGAATTAACTATTTCATGAACTTTTAACTCTGCTCAATGTATCATACAGATATATCTTATCTGTTGAAAAGTTTATCTATTGTTGAGGCGACAACTGTTGATCTCTCGGAGTCAAACAATGGAATGATGAAGTGTAGTACATGAAATAATTATGATTTCATGGACCACCACTCAACTTAATCTTTATATATTTAACTGTTAAGGAGTCTGGCTCTGGCTATGTAAGGTGTTAATTTGGGTCTGTGTCCATTGTCAAGCCTGTTTAGTTGAACTTATTCTACAAACCTGATTTTTTATACACTTCTGATATTCCTACCAAAGAGTGTTTCTACAAATTTTGGTTGTGTTCTGTCAAGTATAGGAGAATCTCTGAAAGGATATATGGTAATGATTTTGATGATGCCCACAGACTTTTAGGGTGGGTAAAGAAAGCTTATTCTTGATAATTGTTTAGAATTAGGTTACAGTTATATTAGGCTGTCTGTCTTAGGCCCTAATCCCCACCACCTTATTTGCTGGATAATAATAAGCATCAATTAACTTCTACTTAATTCTAGAGTACATATTAATTTTCTTTATCTCTTTTTCAAAATATTCGTCGGAACATTTACTTCGAACGCAATAAGTATAGTGTATAAACAACTAATATATTATATACCTACATCTTAATTTTATTTTAAAATTTTTATTTAGTCTCTTCAAGCAATATGGATGTGTTAATTCATGATTTGTAATTTTATAATAAAGCAACTCACTACATATAGTAATTAACCAATTAATAGTTTATTAAATTTTGAATTTATTGCTGTTCCATCTATTTTGTTTTGTCTGATCTCTTTTTGAACCAATTTCCATTTGATAATATAAAATCTATAAATGTGTTACTGACAAAAGTCTAAAATAAAAAATTATGGTGAAATCGATTATATAGTAGTAATATTTCGTCAAAAATATTTGAGACTATTATATTATTTTATGGGGGCCATTCCTTGCCAAATCATGCTGCCAAAGTTTAATTTGAGACCCACTCCTCATAGTTTTTAATTTAAAATATTATATATCAAGCAGATACAAAAAATTGGAGAAAGTTTTGTCTTATTTTAACAAGTAGTTTTAGAAATTATGGTCATTTTAAGTTTTAACACATTATAGAAAAATCAATAAATATTTATCTTAAGTCTTTTAAATGTGTTCATTTTTCTTCAATTTTTTTGAAGAATCAAATTATACTATCTATATAACTATTGGTTTTATGATCTTTCCTTTTTTAATCCTCTATCATTGTTATCTAGTCTGATCAATATTCAATTTTGAGGGGGCACATTTTGATGGAGCTATGGATTTTCAGACTGAAAAGTTTCTAAACAGAGAACTAGGAGGAAACATGGGACAGACCACAGCAAGTATAATTGTATTTGGTCAGGACCATAATCATTCATTTTGGATTTAAGGGTGGCAGAGAATAGATCAGTAGGAGAGATATCGAGAAAATAAAACTTATCAAGGGGGTTTTGGTGATAAAAAAATATGAGCGGTCGTATGAAAATATAGATGGAGAATGGTTAGTGGAAAAGGAATTTAGCTTGTTCGGGTCGACTGGATACTGTGTGCAGGTTTTCGAGCTAACAACAGAGAGGTTCTTAAGGATTGTCCATTTGAATTTAGGGTTGGGTCCTTGGGATAAAACATTATTGAAGTATTGGGCTTTGGCGCGACTTGGGACATTTGTGTGTGGTTTCATAGGGATTTAATTATGAAATAATGCTGAGGTAATCGAGTATGTCTGTAGCGTTTTTTAGCAGCCTCTCTCCTCCTCATTAGTTCTCTTATTTCGGTATTGATCCAAGGAGCAGGAAAACATCTAAAGATATGGGTTTTTAGAGGTGTGTGACGATTGAAGAAATCGAGGAGATTGGAGGAAAGGCATTCAACCATGTCATCAATGGAGGGGAGAGAATAAATGGGGTATAAGGAGGTGGAAAGGGAATCGAGAAAAGGGCTGATGTTTTCAGTGGTTAAGGAATCAAGATCTCTCCAAGTAATTTGTTTAGGTTTAGATGTAGGGGTGGAGATGTTGTATGATATTTCAATAAGATCATGGGATGAAAGGAAGGGTACTGGAATTTGCGTAGGGGATAATAGGTTTTGAGGAGAATCAATAATAAATAAGTCTAGCCAAGGATGGGTGGGTTGAAAGGGTACAATAAATAGGTCTAGGGAAAAAAATAGGTTGATAAGATATGTTCTGTCCGGAGTATTTGAAAGGATGTTGAAAGGAGATCACCTGCAATAATAATATTTTCAAAGAGAGGAATATATGTAAGAAGGGAGGATTCAAAACTCGGATCAAATCGGACACGAGGAGGGCGGTAATTAACGATGAAGAGTAGGGAAAAGGTACAGGAGGAATCTTGGACAAACAGATATTCTATGTTTGGTAGGTCAGAAGAAGGAGATTTTAGAAGGACTTTGGCCGTCAGACTGTCATGAACGGACAATCCCACACCTCCGCCTGTTCGGTCCATTCGATCATGACAAATGAGGTTATAGTTGGGTGAGGAAACAGATAGGGAGGATATATCAGGTTTGAGCCAAGTTTCAGAAACGGCAATGGTATGATGGAAGTTATGATGAAAATAATGGAGGAATTCGTCATAATGTGCTAGAAGGGATTGGGATTTAACGTGACAGGATATTAAGGTATTAGTCATGAAGGGATCAAGGTGAGGAAAACCTGCTAAGTGTGACAAAATGATGTTAATATTGATGGAGAAGGCACATTTTTAAACATACATAATGAAATGTGGTAAAAAATTATATATATATATAATATTGATGTAAATCTTACTTGATATTTTTAAACGAGAGTGAACATAAAAAAAAAAAGTAAAATCTGATTCAAAGTAGAAAAAAGAAGTTTCATCTTTCAAAAAAATAATTGAAAAGCAATATGATAAATGAGTATGGACTATAGGAATGAAGTGAAAATAAAAGGCATTCATAGCAAGGAGGTTGGAAGGAACAGCGAGAACTATTTCATTCCAGCGATTCAATGTCTTCCTTTTTGTTGACGATGATGACAGGGGATCCATCCTGTCTTCTGTATTGGACTTTTCCTCCAGCGAACCTCACGTACTTCAGGATACCTGACGCTCTTTTCTGCCTTGCCAACCAGTATAAATGTTTATTACCTGGACTCATTTCTTCCCCCAGATAAATCCTCTCTTCACTGTCCCTGCCCAGGTGCCTAGTGGAAAAGTCTCTCTTGACCTTGCGTAAAAATATATAAGGCTATATATGTACTAGTCCTAACATATGGTGGCGAGAGACGGGTGATACTCAACAGGCATGTCAGCCAGATCACTAGTACTGAGATGAAGTTCTTGCATAGGGCAGCGGGAAAGACAAGGCGAGGCTGTGTCAGAAACAACCGAATTAGAGAGCAGTTTAAGGTGCCTCCATTGAAGACAATCATGGAAAACAGAGATTTAAAAGGGTTTGGACATATTTGATGAATGGATGAAGTAAGCAAACCCTGAAAGACACTGGAAGCTAGTAGACCTACTAGTAGAAGACCACGTGGCTGGCCTAGTATTTCCTATCAGGAATATTTCCAGAGGATTGGAGGTAACAGATCCAAGACCCTCGCAGAAATGAAGTTAATGAGCAGCGACCAGGAAAACTGGGTGCGCTGGATCGTGGCCTCTCTAAGCCAATACGTCAGAAGAAGATGAGAAAGAAGAAGAATTCCAGTTACTCTATATTACTCAAAAAAATCCAAACAGAATTTCACACTCACAGTTATTCCACCTTCCATTTGTCTTAAAGCAGTTGGATTGGAGTAATCTTAAGTGGCCAGCTTTGATTTAAAGTTTGCTGAACTTTTCCTGTGTGGAATTTGAACCTTTTATGAGTTTTGATTTTGATCAAAGATATTGTGAAAAGAAATATAATCAGACAAATTACTCTTACTTGTTAATAATGTAAACTAACATAAATTTAATTGAAGGGAAGAATTGTTGGGGGTGATCAGTCAAAGAAATAGTTAAAATAAATAATTATATTTATTTTTATATTTGCCTGTTATGTGACTATGTCACCCCATTTATATATATAGTTGTTTTTTTTTTCTGTCTACACTCACGTTTATTATCTTATACATTCCACTACTTTTTGATGTTAATTCATTTTTCATTTCTTATGTTACATTATTTTTATTATGTTTATTTCATTAGTCCCTACTCTGTTGCCGTTATTATTTGTTTCTTAGCTCTCTGTTACTGCTATTATTCTACCTACTTTATTTTTCTTTAATGTTCACTCTATCTACTTTATTTTACTTTAAGTTTATTCTAACTACATTTTAGACTATACCTTTCACCCTTTTAATTTTAATTCTTTATTATTGAATGTTTACAGTTTCTCATACCTATATCTATTTTTTTCTTAGCCCTGATAAAGGCCTGAACTTTGGGCCAGAATGTCGTCAAATATAAAAATAAATACCATTATTTATTTTAACTATTTTTTTTACTGATCACCCCAACCATTCTTTTCTTCAATTATTCATTACAGACAACCACAAATCCATAATTAACATAAGTTTATTAATTTCTTAAAGTTAATTGATGTCAGATAGTCAAAATGTATTTTTTATTTTTATTTTACAAATTATATAGTGTGTGTTATTATTTAATTTTTGCATTCTCTAAAATGTAGGTCAGCTCGTATAACTATGATGACATTCCTCATTAAATCTGGCAAATGTGGTTATATTGAAACATTTTTCAGCTGTCTTTAAGGAAATGGAATATTTTAGAATTTTAATGTATTAATGAATTAATGTTCATCACTATGCACTGGGATTGGTGCAGGTCAAGTAAGTTTTTGTTTCTCTGTTCCTTTATTAAGGTATATATTAATGATTATTGAGAAAATTTTAGTTTTATTTAAAAGTATTGATTTTTGTCTATGTTACTGTTAGATTTAGCTGTTCTGGTTATTCAAAATTCAAATATTCCTCAATAGTGTTTGTGAAATGAAGACTTATTATATTAATGATTGAGATTTTATAATATGTTAGGGTGTCATTAACAATTTGAGCAGGATTTTAAACTCATTTGTAAAATTCTCTATTTAATACAATTTTATTCATATTCAGTGCATTATTAAGTTGGTTTTCAGGCACTGTTTCAACTTTTCAGTTTCCTCACTTTGATACCTTTTATTCTAATTGAATTTCTAGCTTTGTTATTCAAAGTTATTGTGCTCAATAATCCATTAGGATTATATATATAAGTATAGGAAGTCTTAATTATAATCAGTAAAACATAAAAATAATGTTTATTTCGATATGTGGCATGTAATATAACCTAAACTTTAGTTAATAATACTATGGGTCATAATTATTGTTGTTCAGAAACATAAAATTTGGTTTATTTCCATAAAATGTCATGTAATATAACCTAAACCTTAGGGATAAGTCTGTTCATGCAGTTATTTATGTTTATTAATTGGAAGGTTTGGAGATTGGTCATCTCTATATATTTTTGGATACATAAGGCTAGTTTCGATATACCACAAACAGTGTAATCAATCTGATATTGCTACATTTTTCAAGACTTCCAGAAGTGATACTTATGTAGTATTATCGCTTTTTTTATTTTTAAGTTCTTAATTTAATTTAAATACTCAATTATTGGAATTTTTACTTTCACTTACCTATATATGAAATATATAGTAAGAGAAAGTATTGCAATTGTGAAAATATTTTATCAATACAATTTTATTTTCTTAGACTAAAAGGTAATTTATTTAGTATATATTTTAAATTTTATTAACTCTTTCAGTAAAATGTTTTATCTTAATTTTTATAGTTAAAAAAATAAATAAAATAGAGTAAATATGGGAGTAATAAACGTATAACCAAAATTCTCAACAGTGCTTAAACCTTTTTTTATTTGTTTGTAATAATAATTTTCATGGGATAATCAGGTGAAGAAATCATAAAACACAATCTTATTTACAATTTAAAAATTAAGGTACTCTTTCAACGAATAATATAGATTTTTTTTTTAAATAATGTTTACGCTTGAACCTTTGGTTCCATATTATTTTATTCTTATCAATCTATATATTTAAATATTTATTAAGTCAGTTTTTATTTCAATCTTTCTAATTTTCAAAGCGTTCGCCCAATTAGAAAATTCGTATATGAGGATGAATTTTCCCTATATTTCTCTTTTCATTTAACAGCTTATTAAAATATTAGTTTCCGAAAGAAAGGTCCTTCAGAAGATATTTGGCCCAGTTAAAGAAAATGGTGAATGGAGAATTAGACGCAACCAATAACTAGCCAACTTATACAAGGAGCCAGATGTGGTGAAATATACCGGATAGCAAGGCTGAGATGGGAGGGCCAAGTTGTACGGATGGACGAGAACTCAATCCCAAAGATGCTGCTGAGGAGCCAGATAGAAATCAAAAGTGGGCAGACCGAAACTGAGATATAAAGATGGAGTAAGTGCTGATGCCCGAATCCTTAAAATCAGGAGCTGATAGAAGCTGCTGGGAAACGCTAGTGCTGATCACAATAATAATTTTTTTTTTATAGATTAAATTAGGAAATCCGTCTATGAGAATAATTTTTCCCTATATTTCTCTTTTCTTTAAATATGTGTTTTATGAAACTTTTTTCCACCATCCAAGAGAGTGCTGGTCATGATAATATATTTTTTTTTATATTACATTAGGAAATTCATCTATAAGGATGAATTTTCACTATATTTCTCTTTTCTTTTTTGGGGATTTTTTTCCAGTTTCCTGTGGCGGCGTGGCCCCCCCCCCTCATAGCGCGCCCCGGCTGGATCTGCTATTGACCGTAATTGGTACTTTATACTAACGATTTTACACATTTTTACAATTTCCTAAAAATAAAGCTAGTAATTTTGATTAAACTCGGTATATCAATATATAATTAAGTGATATTTAATATCATTTAGATCTAATACCCATTGATGTCGCTTAACAAGGCTTAAATGCCCAATGCTGAAAATTTCTTTCTCTAAAGTATCTTAAATTTGGTTTGTTTTAAATAATTAAGGATCTCTCGTTGTTACAAGTTATGAAAAAAGGGTAAATATAACTTTTGAAAGAATTTGATAATTGAATAAAGGAGATAAAAGGAAAAATGTTTATTTAGGTCAAAAATTAATCTCCAGAAATATTAGTCAAAAGGTATATGTATAATATATCGTTGGAAAGCTGGGAATTTTAGAAAAAAAACAATATCTAATATAGAAAATTGTAGAAGGTAATGGAGAGTGACAAAACAATTATAAATAATAATTTATAAAAACTAAAATTATTTCACAGAAACCACATGTTTCCGAGGAAATTAAATTAAATTTCCCTTCTGAAATGTGCCTTTTAAAATTATGTTCAAGTTTGATAAAAAATACATAAAATCTACCAAATAAAGGCAGTGGCATTGTTTAAAAAACTATTTCATTGTATTGTGTCAGTCTGGCCAGAGACGGCAGTGAGTAAACATCTATGGAGCGCTTTCTTTCAATTTCATATATTGAGCCCAATTTTGTTTTTTCTTTCTTTGTTTTTTTTTCATAACAGTGTCAGACTATCATACGTAATCTTTAATACTCCTTATATTTACGTATTTTTATGCTACTCAACGTAAAGAAAATATAGTGAGAGTTCTACGAGCCCTATGATTGTTAAGCTACTAATCCTATTAGTATTAGCAGTTGTTTGCTTGGTGGATCACAACATAAACTTCACTTGACATTCACTGTAAGTTATTTTTTATTATTAAAAATGGTCCAGTGCACGATTTGTAATAACGCTATTGCCCGTGAAGATAAATACAATTTATGTTGTACCAAGTGCAAAGTTATTTATCACGGCAAGTGTTTTAATCTCACAGACAAAGAGCTAGAAGCTCAGAGAAGTACAAAAAAAACATGGATGTGCCTAAATTGCGATCAAAAAAAAGAAACAAAATTTAAACAATGAACCGCCTGTATCAGAAATATTAGCAGCAGTTAATAAACTGGATAGTCATGTTAGTGAGGAAATAAGGGATATGAAGACAGCCCTCGATAAATATGGAGACCTCAGCTTTGAACTGAATGAGAGGTTATCGAAATTAGAAAAACATCTCGAGGGCCAAGCCAAACATTTTGAGGAGATCATCTTGGAAAATAAAGCCCTCAAAGCTCGAGTGGGCGATTTAGAGATCCGCCTGAACAAAACAGAACAGGGCTGGAGATCCGTGGGATACCAGTGCGAGCAGGCGAGACGCCCGCGGCTCTGGTGACCAGTATAGCCGCGGGGCTGGGCATCAAGCCCGGAGTGGAGGATGTGGATGTGGTGCAGCGCCGCAGAAGCAAGAAGGATGACCTGCGACCGCCGCCGGTAATAGCACATTTCGTCAGGAAGTCAGTGAGGGACGACCTGATAGCGAGAAAGAAAGTGAAGAGGGACTTCTCGACGCGTGATATCGGGTGGCAGGAAAACGACTGCCACTGAATTTATCTCGGCGAGGAGATGACCCCAACAAACAGGCACCTCTACTGGCTAGCCCGGCAGAAGAGAGCTGCCGGGAAGATAAGATACGTATGGTTCGCTGCCGGCATTATGCGTTGCCGAAAAGAAGACGGCCATCAAGTAATCTTGATTAATCAGGCATCGGATCTAGAAGTTTTCCCCTGACTGTACAGGTTTCATCACTTCTTCTCGTTCATCAAAGTATTTTTTTTCTTCATTGGTGCCCAAATCACTTTGAAGATTTTGGTTAAAATGTCTCATAGCTCCAGTTTACTAATTTGTTCATTTTCTTACTCTTATTGCTCACTTATTTTTTCATTATTCACTTTTATTTTGCTTATCAGTACTTTTCATAATTTTTTTTCAGAATATGATATATGCCTCATTTCCTCTATGCTAATTTCTGACTGTTTCCCATCAAATCCTCCCCATGTCTAGCATCCTAACCACCTGTCACGTTAACTCGCAATCCCTTCCCGCCCATTATGATCAATTCCTGCAGTACTTTTCTCAAAACTTTTTTCACCTGGCTCAAACCCTATATTCCGTCCTCATCTGTCTCCTTACCTAATTACACCCTCATCCGCCACGACCGGGTCAGCCGGACTGGTGGTGGGGTGGCCATATTTGTCCATGATAGCCTGAAGTCCCGAATCCTTGATTACTCCCCACCCTCCGAACATCCACAAGTGGAGTACCTTCTAGTAGAAATTACCTGTAATAATTCCCCTCTCCTTTACATAGTGATCTACCGTCCTCCCCTTGTTCCATTTGATCCGTCCTTAGAATCAACCCTACTCAACTTTGTTCCCCTCTATCCTAGAATACTCATCGCCGGTGACCTCAATACCAATTTCCTTTCTAATTCCAAAGACAAAACCTATCTAGAAAACCTATTTTTTTCCCTCCATCTCTTTATTGTTCCTTTTTATCCTACTCACCACACCCACAAGGCCGACACTTGGTTAGATTTCTTCATTATAGACTCCGAACTAAATCTCCTCTCCTCTTCTCAACTGCCAGTATCCTTCTTATCGTCTCACGACATGATCCTAATAACATATAATATCCAAACCCCTCTGATTCATCCGAGAACCTTCACTTTCCATCAGATAGACACTCTCATCTGTGAAAAAATGCTACCTGACCTTGAAACCTTAGACTTGAAGGAAATATATTCCTGCTCCTCCATCTACTCCATGGTTAAGATCCTGACTTCCAATCTCCTCAATATCCTTAACACCCATGCTCCCATAAAAATCTCTAACTTTCGCCGCCGGCCTGCACCTTGGATGTGTCAAGAAATCAAGGATC